ACTCTGTATGTCGTGCCTGTACTGGGCTCCCCACTGCCTGCTTGGCACCTGGGATCCGTATGACACCCACAGGGACAGAAGTGGGTTCACCAGGGAGAAAACCAAGGCAAAGCCCCATGTCCATGCAGAAGAGTGTCAATGACAGCTTTTTTATTGCAAAGTCAGTATGCTCAAGGGGAAACGGGAAATAATGAAAGATTTAGTAGTCCTGCTGTTCATATTATTTCAGGGGGCTGGGATTCTGGGTCCCTGTTACCCTGAGTCTGAGCTTAGCCCTGACCTTGCCTCCCCCAACTGGGTCCTCTTGTGGGTACAGGTGTTAGGGAGTCCATCGGGTGCTGGATCTTTTTCATTTCAGGGTTTTTGTTGCTTTTGCCCTTGTTTGGGCCCCATTGTCTTCAAAGGGTGCAGAGTGATATGAGGTGTGATCGAAAATACAGTGACAGCTGTCACCAAGCGTCACCCATATGAAAGCAAGACTTGTAAAAACACGACACCAGCTCCTCGTCCACCCGATTCACCGGATTTGGTGCCATGTGACTTCTGGCCCTTCCCCAAAGTCACAATGACCAGGAAAGGGAGAGGTTTCGAATCCATTCAGGACATGGAGGTAGTCAGGACAGCGCAGCTAAAGACCCTCAGGAAAGAGCACTGCAGAGCTGCTGCAGGAAGCGGCCAGGACAAAGGGACAAGTATGTGCAAAGCCGGGGAGGATTCCGATGTGATTCACAAGAATGTGTCTTTTACTGTAATTAATTTTTAAAACTTAAACTTACATGGTTATTTTCCATCAAACCCCTTAGACCCCAGCCTCTTACTGGGGAGAGTCCCTTGGCAGGCACAGGAGTCGGTCCTGGGTGCAAAGGTTGCAATGCTGGGTGCCTGGCTCCCAGGCCAGCTCTGTCCCCTCCCTGCCGGACCGTGCTGTGGATGGACCACAGATGTGTGCTCCTGGGAAACCTGGGTGAAACATCCTAATCACTCCAGTGAAGGTAGACTCGTGGGTGATGCTGGCAAAGAGCAGTCCCTGTGCTACCTGAACTCGTATGGCACAGGTCACACAGCCCATCAGTCATCTCTATGTGGGACAGGACAACCCCAGCCTGGCCTCAATGGTATGGCTCCACAAGAGGGGAGAGAACAGGCCGAATTCAGGTACAGCAGACAAGAGCACCTCTGGTGATGGGGGCAACTTATGCAGGGCACCTCATTGTTCAGGCCTGGGAGTTTTATTTGTTTGTTTGTTTGTTTTTGAGACAAAGTCTCTCTATGTAGCCTAGGCTGGCCTCAGACACCCAGCGAATCTCCTGCCTCAGCCTCCCAGTGCCGGGATGACAGGAGTGCGCCGTCACACCAGGCACACAGACACAGTTCTGGATGACTCCAATGCAGACTTGTCACAAGCCTTGCGTGAGTGACTTCATGTCACAGAACCTCCAAATGGTCCCCTGCTCTGAGTTCCAACTGTGGCCACCTTCAAAGGCAGGGACAGACAGTGCTGAACACCAGTGTGAGCCACCACGGATCAAGGGCAGGTGTCCCAAGGAACCTGGGGCAAAGGAAGCTGGTTGGCAGCACGGCGGGTCCTTTCCTTAGAGGGACCTTTGTTGATGCCCACCACTGCTGTCAGCCACCACTCAAGTGGCAGCCAGGGCCTGCAATGTCACTGTGATTTGCCCCCAGGGATCAGGCACGACATGACCTGCAGGCACATACCCAGCTCACATGCAGCCTTACGAACCTTGCTACCTCTCTCTCAGGTTTTTAAAAGGATGGGATGGGATGGGATGTAGAGCTGGGTATGCTGTGTAGGCTGTAATCCCAACTGGCTGGGAGGCTGAGACAAGAGGGTCACAAATTCAAACGCAACCTTGGCAATTAATCGACTGAGCAAGAACTTGTTTCAAAATAAAAAATACAGAAGGGCTGGGGGTGTAGATCAGTGCAAAGGCCCCAGTACTGTACATGAAGAAGGGGCTGGGGAGACCAAACTCTGACAGGAAGACCTCAGGGGACTGCAGGTTGGAATTTAGACCTTCCTGTAGATCTTACTCCAGGCACAATACTGAGGAGTGCCATGTCTTTCAGGGTCACTGAGCCCTGGTCCTGTAAGGCCAAGGTGCCTCTTTCAGTGTGTCTCTGGTCCCCAGCTCAGAGGGGGAGTTGCCTGAGCACTGTCCCTTACCCTAAGGGCAGATCAGGGCACCACTTGGTGGCCTTGCACCTTCATCTCAGGGCTCAAGGTCCATCTCAAGGTTGGGGTGACCAGCACCTGCTCCCCCACTGCCTGTCCAGCTGAGTGAGCTCACCCCACCCTTGCCCAGAGAGGCCACTGGAGAGGGGGTGGGGTGGGGTGGTGGGGGAGAAGTTTTTAACCCTTGAAGGGGCGGTGCGGGTGCTCAGTCAACAGGCGATGGATGGGTGAGTGCGGCAGAAGAGGGTGCCCAACTGGGTGTGGGGGCTCCCACTTGTGATCCCAGCCCTCTGGAAGGCTGGGGCAGGGGGATTGAAAGTTTGGACCTAGTCTGGACAATTTAGTGAGACCTTATCTCAAAACTAAAAAAGAACAATTTTAAAAAGGGCAGGGGACATAGTTCAGTGGGAAGGTCCTGGGTTCAATTCCCAGGATCACAAAAACAAAAGAAAGGTAATATCAAAAATAAAAACACTCCCAGGCCCAGAGCTGTTAGTGCGGCCTTGGGTGGATGAGCAATCACCTGCCCGCACCCTCCCAGCAAGGAGGGTGCCCCCCTTTCCTTCAGGAGGACCTAAGCCTGAGCAAGGACTGCAAGATGGAAGGGGAGCCCGCTGTCATTAAGATGAGAGCCCCAGAAAGCAGTCTGTTTTCATGGGCCACCCTGCGGCTGAGGATGCAGGCTCAGGGAGGAGAATGGGGAGCTGTATGCAAAAAAGGAGCCCCCTTTTCCTGGCCTCCCCCTATCCAGCCTCCCACCTGCTGTAGGAAGAGGACAGATGGAGGCCTAGCGTGGGGACCTGGGGCCACCTGCAACCCCACCAGCCACTCATGGCAGAGCCTCGAAAGGTCTCAGGCCAGTGGAAGGGCCTGTGCATAGGGGAGGGGAGTGAGGGCACCACCCAGCCCAGCCAGTGCGCCCTGTGTCCCTGAGGCCCGGCAGCCTGTGGGCTGGGCTCTGAAGCCCGCGCAGAGCTTGTCAGCCTCCCTGCATTCCCGCCCAGCTGGTTAGAGGCCAGGAGTGAGGCTGCCCCTCAGGCTGGTCCAGCTAGCCCAGCTGGGCATAGATGTGTCCCCACCGCCACCTCCTGAGCAGGACACACAGAGCATCCACCTCTCCAGGGTTGGGTCTGGAGGGGACAGCCTAAGCAGTGTCCCTTCTCCAGAGCACATGGACTTTGTCAAGGGGTGAGAGCGAGGCCACCTGCTTCCTGCAGGGGACATCAGAGCTCCGAGTGGTGCTCTGACTCAGGAGCATCGGGGACTACCAATGCTGTCTTCAACCAACAGTAGCTGTTTGTATCCTCAGAGCCCAGAACTGGGAGATTCAAGACCAAGGTGCAGGCAGGGCTGGGTCCCTCAGGGACTCTGGCTCATCTTGCCTGGTATGGCCTGGGCTTCTGGCATCTTCAGTGTCCCTGGGCTTGGGGCTCAAGAAGTCAGTCTCTACCTGTTCTGCATGACCTCTCTGGGGGCTTCAGCTTTTGCATGACAGCTCTTTCTCCTCATGGTGGTGAATACCTGTCATCCTAGCACTCAGAAGGCTGAGGCAGGAGGATCACTCTGAGCTCAAGGCCAGCCTGGGCTACATAATGGGTTCAAGGGCAGGCTGAACTATATAGTGAGACCCTGCTCAAGACAAAAAGACAAAAAACCCATGATTGTACGGGATCAGGACTCACATCATGACCTCACTTAAGTGGATTATATCTGTAGAGACTCTGTTTCCAAATCAGGCCCTATTCACAAGAGGCTGAGGGGAGTTAGCCTCTTTTGGAGGGGACAAAAGTCAGCCCACAACAGGGGAGACACCGGGCTTTGGTAAGATGGGTCCAGAGCCAGAAACTCTGAGTCTCAGGTGTGAAACTTCTTTCAAGTCCTAAATCTTATTTATTTACTTATTTATCTATTTATTCTTGAAATAGGGTCAGGCTGGCCTCGAACTCACCACAATCCTCCTGCCTCAGTCTCTTGAGTGCTGGGATGGCAGGTGTGAGCTACCATCCCCAGCCATTTCTGAGTTTTATCAAAGGAATTTATACCCTGGTTTGGAAGATAGAAGCCAACGCTGGGTCCCATGAAGCCCACTGAGGCACGAGGATTTCCCCCGAGACTTATAGATGATAGTGATTGGCTGAAATCACACCCTCTGAGCTACAGGGACTGGACCTGAATTGTGTTTTCCTAGCTTGTGGATCAGGTTTGTCTACTGTAAGCAATGACATGGGAAGATGGCGGGGTGGGGGTAGTGGCACATACATCATACCTCTCACATCCCCAACTCTGAAGAAGAAAGATGGTTGTCTGCTGTGAACATCTGTTAGGTGAATTCTCAAACATAGATACAGATGGCTGGAAGATAGGGCTGTAGGATTTTCAGCCAAGTAAAAGGAAACCGACCAGGCCAAGTTCCCAGGCTGCACACCCAGTACCCAAGTCAGATATGCCAGGGAGAGGGATGGGGTGGGGTGTAGTCATGGTCCTGCCTCTGAGAATGACAAGGAAACCACTGTGGTTGCTTAGCTAGGCTTTCTCTTCTGTTGTGCAAGCATCACTGTCACAAATTAAAACAGCTTTGATGTCCCTGGGCCGTGTCATTTTAGGGGACAACTGTCATTTCCATGGTCTGACAGTGACTGTCACCAGGCGTTGCATGATCGCGTTTGTTGGTTCTGCCTGTAATTTTAGGGTTACTTTCTTTTCATTTTTCCGGGGTCTCACTATATAATGCAAGCTGACCTTGAATGCATGGTGATCCTCCTGTCTGTCTCCAAAGTGCTGGGATTATAGGCATGTGTCACCACTCTGGCTTTTGAAAGCAGCTTCATTTTATTTTTGTCTGAGACAAGGTCTCACTAATGCAGTTCCGGCTGGCCTTGAACTCACTCTGTAACCCAGGCTGGCCTTGAACACGCAGTGATCCTCCTGCCTCAGCCTTCCAAGTGCTGGAATTACGGGCGTGCAGTACCATGCCCAGAAGAGGTTATTTCAATGGTCGTGTAAGTGGCTTTTTTTTTTTCTTTACAGAGAGTGTTTTGCAGCCCACATTATGGACATCTCCAGTGAAAGTATTAATGTTAAATAAATAGGGAGGCGGCCCATTGCCCTATCCCTCCACCGCTCCTGGTGCCAGCACTCACTGGCACCTACTCTGTCACCAGCAGATGTGTCAGTCACCACGTGGCGTCACCTCTACCCTAACAAGCTCGAGCACGGAGAGCCAACAACCGGAGCAAGAGGCATCCCAGAGCCTTAAACGAAGGATGGAGAACCAGGCTGTAGGAAGGCGCTGTAGGTGTGCGGGTAAGGTGTCTGTTCTGCGCATGTGCAGCAGAGCAGATGCCGCCCACCTGCCACGCCCACACCAAGCCACGCCCATCGCCTCGGTCTTCCGGCGACCACTTCCAGGCATCCACCTCCTTTAGGTGGGCGAAGCCGAGACTCCTGTTGCGGACGGGGAGCCTGCTTGGTGGCCGCCCTTCAAGGGATTGAATCGCGCCCGAGACTCAGGAATGTCACACCCACCGAGACGCCTCCTCTGCCGAGGGAAGGCCAGCTGGGCCCTCTGTTTTTGCTCCCTAGCCAGGCGCTGAACCAGGACTGTGAGTGCCCCCACCCCCCGCTGCCCCCCAGGATTTTCAGGAGGAGGGAGGCGACCAGGGTGACTCCGCGTTAGGTGGATGGGTGGGTCCCTCGCCTCGGGTTTCAGTTCCCCCTCGTCTCAGGGGAGGGGACATCAGTCGCAGTTCTGAGCTCCCTTGTGCAATGCTGGCCCAGGACAATGCGATCCTCCTTGTAATCACCAGGCAGGTATTGCTTGTTTTCTCTTCCAGAGAGGTTGAGTAACTTGCTCGATGCCACACAGCCTGGAAGTAGAGATGCCCCTGGGCTCTGCCTGGGAGGGCTTGGTGTCTGGGAGACCTACCACCTGGGACTGTAGACTGTGCCACTTCACCTAGTCCCGTAGTCCCTGGAAGCCCTGGGGCACTGGGGTCAGAGGTTATAGAGCAGCAGGGCACAGGGGTGTGGCCCTTAAAGAACCCCAACACATCTACAGAGCTGAGGCTAGTCAGGGAAGACAAGGTGGGCACCAGAAGGGCATCTGTGACCGGGGCCCACGGGGACCCTAGGTAGAGGAGAGGCCAGGAAGACAGCAGGGACCCATGCCCAAGGGCTCAAGATGTCACCCACTTCCCAGCGGATGTGTCTGTCACCTGGCACTTCCTTGGGGAGCTCCAAGCCGAGGGGGGCATCAGGGAGGCTCTGTATGGATCTGCCAGTTGCCAAGCAGCACAGGGTGCACTTGTCCCAGGTCCATGGAAGTCGACCCCAGACTTGGCGACCCTAAGGCCCAAGATCAAGAGCAGGACCCCAGCAGGCCTGTCTATCTGTCCGATGCAGAAAGCTGTATGTCCACATGGCTGGAGGTAGAAGGTGAGCCAGTCAGGCAATAAAGAAGCCTCTTTTCAAACATTTTTTTTCTGTAATAGAGATTGAATGTGGAGTCTTTGCACTCAGCTACAGCCCCAGCCCTTTTCCTTTTCTTTCTTTGACACAGATTCTTGTTGAATCACTAAATCGCCCAGGCGAGGCTGGAACTTGCAATCCTCCTGCTTCAGCCTTCCAGAGAGCTGGGATCACGGGGGTGCACCATCACATTCTTCTATACAGGCCTTCATCCCATCAGTAACAGAGGAGGCCTCTTAGCCTGATTCCCTTTAAAGGGCTCCCTCTTAACAGCACCCAAGCAGCACCCTCCCCCCCAAATTCAGAGGGGCCCCATTTGAATCCCAACAGGGCTGCTGGAGTTGGCAGGTGAACCCCAAATCCCTGTGCTGGGAACTGAATTTCCTACGTGAGGGTACCGAGGGTTGAAGAAGTGATTGGAGCTGGGGTTCCGCCCTTAAGAGGGATCGATGCTAGCACTGGGGGGTGGGGGGGCTTCCTTGCAGAACTGGCTGCTGATAACGGACAAGTTCGGCCCCTTTCTCTTGCACTTGCACATTCTGCTGCCCTCGCACACGGGACAGTGGAGCTGGAAGCCCTCACCAGAGGTGGACACCTCAATCTCGGGCTCCCAGCCTTAGGAATCAAGCCACCTCTACCCTTTTATCACTTGCACAGGGTCAGGTATCTGGTTAGAGGACCATAGGTGCGCTAAGACAGTGGTCCATCCCATTTTGTCTTTATTTATTTTTGAGAGAGGGTCTTGCTGTGTAGTGTAGGCTGGCCTTCAACTCAGTGTGTAGCCCAGGCTGGCCTCAGACTCCCAAGTGCTGGGATTACAGGCCCCACCATGCCTGGTTTAATTCACTATTGTATCCCAGGCTGGGTTCAAATTCACAGTGATTCTCTTGCCTCAGCCTCCCAAGTGCTAGGATGACAGGCAGGCTTGGTCTGCTTAGTCTTCATCTGTTTAGGCTGCTTTAACGAGATACCATAAATGGGGTGTCCGTAAACATTAGCAGCTTTTTCTTGGAGTGCAGGCGGGTCAAGGTGGCAACACTTTTGGTGTCAGCTGTGGCCTCTCTTCTTGGTTCTAAAGACCTCACCTTCATTGCATCAAGGATTATGGTTTAACATGATCGGATCAAGGATTAGGGTTCAACATAAGAACTTGGGGCACACTGGGGGCTGAGCTCAGAGGGTGGGGTATGGCCAGCTGAGGCCATTTTGGGGTGTTGGGGTGAGTATCCCAAGATCTGGCCAACACATGCAACTTTTTGTCTCTCCAGCAGTGGGGACCCCGCTACTGGCCCCCTTGTCCTGCTCTTCTCTATCCCAATTCCGTAAGGAGCCTGTCCCTTAGCCTAGAAGGCAATTGCAGGGGTCTCGGGGAGCTGCTTCACAGTACCCCCCTCCAGACCAGACCCTAGGGACCAAGGTTGCTCTGATTCTGCAGCTTGGGGTGCAGTTAGGATGAGGAAGTGTAGTGCAGGGAGATGATGTCTCTAGCCTGGCCCTCGGGTGACCATCACATTTCCTCTGGAAGTTCAGAAGGTGGCCTAGTAACCTGATTCCCAGGGTTTTCACAGCTGGACACTGAGTGTGTGGGTGTCGGAGTGGCTGCCTGGGTCCAGCACAAGTCAGCTGTCCCTGCCAGGTACTGTATGAGCCCTGGGCCTGGGTCAGCCCACTCTTACAGCCAGGTGTGTGCCCAGGACTTCCGGCTGGGTGTCTACACTGACGGCACAGCTGTGCATCACCATACCTGGTGTAAACGCTCCTTCCTCCATGAGAAATTAAGGCCACATCATTTCCTGGCTTCAAAGGACCTCAGAGAGACGTGTGCCTAAGTCCCCTGGCTAGGGGGAACCAGCAGCAGCATCTTGGGGACAGAGAGTCCTTCCCCTGATGGCCAGCACCCTGCACTCTCCAGGCCCCATCTTGTTCTTAGTGGGGAACACCCAGCTGTCTGAACCGCTGTCCCTTGGTGCCCTGGCTCAGCCCCAAGTCCCACCTGGAGTGGGTGTCAGATGGGTACGGGCTGCTGCATGTCGCCAAGAGCTCTCTGGGATGCGTGGCTGCATGATCAGCTGGCCTGGATACACTGGAAGGACAAGGAGGTCCAGTTAGCCCAGGAAAACAGGAGAGAAGGACCCTGAGACTGGACAGGGAGCCCCAGGAACCCCTATTGCTCTGAGTCCTGAGTAGCAACCTGCAAGAGTCAGAAGCAATGGACCTCACACACAGTGCACCCCTCGTGCAGGGGTCTTGGGGAGCTGCTTCACAGGGGTCCTGAGCACCGTCCTTGGGTCTGCCCTTCCCAGCACTGAAAGGGGACACAGGAACCACACTGGATCCCCAGGATGGCCTCTTGGCACCAGGTAGCCAGTACAGCACTGGGCTCTGGCCCCACCCTGCCCCGAGGTGGAAGCTGGGTCACTGTGCAGGGCTGTTTGGGCTCCAAAGAGCCATGCTGTGCCCTGCCTTGGAGGTGTTGACGGTGTGGCTGAGAAATCTAGGTCAGCAGTGGGCAAGGCCCTGCAGGTGGCAGCTGTGCCAGCAGAGCTGGGGATAGAGAAGCCACCTGATGACACATCCCACTTCCGGGCCCTCCCAGAGCCCTAGGCCCCAAGGCAGCTTGTGGGGGAGTCAGAGCTTAGGAGTCCTGGGCTGTGGCTGTGTGACTCTGGGTTGTCACCTGCTCCTCAGCTCCTCCACCTTTGACTTCAGGCAAGGTGGGGGATCCAGACATCAGCTTCTTGGTCAAAGCTGCCCGCTCCCGCTTCCCACAGCCTCCCATGCCTTGAGCCCTCTGAGGGCCTCTATCTTCGGTGGGAACCCCCCAAAAGCCATAATGTGTACATTTAGCAGGGCTCAGCAAAGGAGGGGATGGGGCTGTGTTTGCTGAGTTCAGGAATAAACGAAAGAGGATGCCCTTGCCCATTTCCCTCACCTTTGCTAGATTAGACCCAGATCCTTTGGGATCACTGCCAGGGGCAAGGCTGACAGCCAGGTGTGGTGACGCACATCTGTCATCTCAGCAACACTCAGGAGGCTGAGGCAGGAGGAGTGCCTTGAGTTCAAAGCCAGCGTGGCCTACACAGTGAGTTCAAGGTTAGGCTGAACTAACTACATACCGAGACCCTGTCCCAAGAAAGAAAAAAAGAAGGTGCCAGGGATTTAGCTCAGTGGCTCATGTGCTTGCCTGGTAAATGTGAGGTCCCTGGTACAAAAAAACAAACCGAGACTGAAGGGGCATCTCACCCTCAGCTGATGCTACCTGCACCCCAGCTCTGGGAGTCTCGCATTTGCTGCAGTTCCCTGGGCGACCGAGCTGGGCGTCCTGCCTGCAGCCTCATCTTGCCTGGTCACTGCGGGCCCTAAGCCCCTGGGCCGGAAGTCAGCGACCACCCAGAGCCACGGAGCTGCACCCGGACGCCGTCGGCCAGGCCAAGGGACCTGATTTTGCCCAGGCTGCAAGGCCAGCTCCTCCCTGGGAACAGAAAGGGGAGAGCGAGAGGGTCACCAGGCCGGGTGTCGTCATCTCATTTCAAAGAGGGGATGACCGCAGGTCAGAGGGCAGCCCTTCCATAGCCTCGCCGTCAGGACAGAACCCAGGTCCCACCCGGAGCGCAGAGAGCACTGGAGGCCGCCGGAGCAGCGTAGAGACTGCCCCCAAAGCCCTGCCCCTGCCCCTACCCGTCACCCTCCGCACCTGGCCCCTCCCTGCCCGGAAGCCAGGGACCAGCTGGGACCCACCTGGGCCGGCTTCCCGCGGCCGCCGCTCCCGCTGCTGTGTTCGCCTGTCCTCTGCCGGCAAGGTGTGGAAGCGCAGGGCAATCTCCGCCCACTGCTCTCCTCGCTGCTTGAAAGCTGGGCACGGGCGCGCGGACTGGTAACTAAAACATGTCCCGGCCTCTTACTTCGGTAAGTTCACCCTTCTAACGCCTGGAAGGCCGGGTTCAAGTGCAGAAGTCAGCTCCTGCACCGCAATTGGTAAGGCGGGGGAGCCTGTCTGCGCCCCCTCCCCGCACCATGCGTGAGGACGCAGGCAGGCGTGGACACGGGTGTGTGCACACGCCACACTGCATGCATACGCTAGTGCACACGCGTGTCCAAAATACTCCGCTGCACACATACACCTGTTCATACATGTGTGCCGTCCTGTACCCTCACAGTGGCCTAGGGACACGCACGCTGGGAAGAGCAGTGGGGGACCCGGAAGTGGGGTCGGGCGCGTGCCGGTAATTCCAGCACTGGGAGGCTGAGGCAGGAAGACTGCCAAGAGTTTGAGACCCACTCGGGCTGCACAGTGAGTTCGAGACAGCCTGCACTACATAGTGATACCTTGTATCAAAAAAAAAAAAAAAAAAAAAAAAAAGAAAAAGAAAAAGAAAAAGACGCATTCTGCTTTCAGCGACGCTGAGGTGAGCGGCTTCTATCGCTGTCAGGGCTCAGATTGCGAGGCTCTGGCGGGTCCGCTGCACTCAGCCTCAGTGGCTGCAGGCCTCAGTCTCCACAGTGTGAAATCTTCCAGCCTGGAGTGGCGAGGACGGCTTTCCTGGGCTTAGATCTTTCATTCCTTTCCACGGGGACCTGCAGCTTCCCGCACTAAGGTCTCACCCTTCTTTCCTGAGCGCTTTTGTATCTGTCCTCTCCTTTGGGTATCAAAGGCCCCATGAAAGTGGCCTGCGCCACTACGAACCATGTTCCGCAGAGCCAAAGCTCTGGGGTTCATCGGGGTTTGAAACCTCAGCCCCTAAGTGGCAGTGCTGGGAGCTGAACCCTCGCCCCTCCCCAACCCCCACCTTGGCCCCCGAACTCCTTCCCTCTGCTGGGCTCTGTCTCGGAAGCTCAGGCCCTCAGCAGACACCGTGGAGGGTGAGGGTGACCGTGACGCCTGTGTGGCAGGCGCTGCAGAAAGTTCACCTGCCCCCCTACCCTCAGAGCCCCCCAGAGGAGCCTTGTTGACCCTACAAAAGCACACGCTGGGTCTGGGGGCCCTGCCCAGCTGGGAGAGAGGAGGCGAGGTCCATGGTGGAGGCAGAGTGGAGAAGAGCAAGTCCAGTGTCATGACCATCAAGTGTCATGACCACTTGTGATCAGGGTCACAGTGATGCTGCTGCTGGGCACCGTCCCACAGAAAGGCACTTCAATGACACTGTGTCCTCAACTGCCTCAGTCACGGATCTGACACCATGCAACTTCTGGCTCTTCCCGAAAGTCACAGTGACCAGGAAAGGGAGACATTTTGAATCCATTCAGGACATGGAGGCAGCCAGGACAGCACAGCAAAAGACGCTCAGGAAAGAGGACTCCGGACAGTGGGATGAGTATCTGCAAAGCCGGGGAGGATTTTGGGGGATTCCTGGCACTGTGTCTTTACTGGGATATATTTTAATTTAAATGCTGACTGTGAATTGTGACTGCACCTCATAGAGCACAGCATAGGTGGACGGGTCACCTGTCCAGGGAGCAGTGGCAGTGCCTTGACGCGCCCGCCCTTCCCAGCAGGCTCCCATCTCCCAAGCCCCATGCCCAGGGCTCCTGTCCATGTCTCGAGTGTCCAACACTCACATGCCAGCTACAGTGAAGCAGGTGGGTAACACAAGGTTAGAGGGCAACCGAGTAAAAGAGGGACCCAGGCTCAGCCTCCCATTGTTTCCCTGGCCAGGAAGGAGGAATGGAAACTCTCTGGGGCAAGAGATTTGGCCAGACTGTCTGGGTGAACTCACCCGGCTCTGCCCCTCCCTTGACCCTTAGTACTGAGGAAAAAAGATTAAATAAGGAAAGAAGTGACCACTGTGCCCTTGGACTGCCAGGGAGGTCAGGGCTTCTGGGATGTCCCCGGCCCAGCTGCTGGGGGCAGGTTAACTAACCCCTCTGGGCTCGCAGCTAGGGCTGACAGGACCAGCAGGGCCTTGGGTCCCCTTGTCATGCTCGGGGCCACCCATGCAGGTTATTTTAGCTGGGAGTTTGTTTGGTCCCCAGTGGCTACACCGGGCAGGGGTTGTTGAGAAAAAAGCAGGTCCCACCCAGGGGGCTCAGAAAGTCTCTCTCGCACCTGGTCCCCCAAGCCAGGTAGGCCGGCAAGATGGGGCAGGATTTTCCACCCCTCACCCCCAAGGCTGCCCACCCTGAACCCTGGTTGTATCAGCCAGCTGCACCCCATGATGCTGCAGAAGTACCGTCCTCCTCAGCAAGCCAAGGGTCCTGGCACTCCCCTTTATTTCTTTCTTTTTTTTTTATTTAAAGAAAGAAAAAAATATAAAATGGGCAGAAATAGTACATACTTTCAAAGAAAAGAAATAAACAGTAATAAATCACTAGTTGATGTATACATATTATCCCCCCACAAATAGTTGTTCAAGATGCACAAGTGGAACATATAAATGGGAATTCAACCAGGGAGACTGCAAACAGTTCTGTTTAACTATCCCACAAAAACTAAGTATTATGGCTAACATACACTTAGACATGTATGCATTTATCCATATCTTCATTTATGATGAGACCTAACTAAACTTACTAGATTAACATCCTTCTGAACAAAGATTAATAATATTGCTGAATTTCACATCATAACACTCTGGAATCAGCACTGGGTACTGCAGTGCCCCTTTCTTTCCTTCAAAGTATTTGTTTATTTCATCATGTGTTATCAGATCAGTACTCATAAACTGTTTATAGGTTTTACATAAGCATGAATCTTAACATGTATTTCTATCCTTTCTATATTAGAGGGAGAAACAGAACAAAGCAGGACAGAACTAAACATACTTCTATAGACACATAAAACTAAAGACATATGAATCTGCTGTATAAGGAGTTCTACCAGGGTCACTGTGCGGTTTCTTGTTATCAACAGAATTGGCTATATCATCAGATAAAGTATAATTGAACATATCAGTACATAACAGGATAACAGAAATACAACTTTGTAGATAGTGTAGAGCTACAAAAACAGGTAATAATCAAATCAGAATGGATATTTTAGTGAATCATTGTCATTTTCAGTATAGTGTCTATACTCCTCAACTTGATACCACCAACCTTACAGTTTTGAATAAAATCTGTCAATGATAAGCAGCAATCAAACAAGTCAGATTTAACTAAGATCAGTCATGATACAACAAGTATAAGTCATACAGGGATCCTGATTGAGTTAAAGGAAATTAAAATGACCACTGTGCTATGTCCTGATATCTTTGGGACAGCTGTCTGTGCCCCTCAGATCCAGTGCTTGTATACAAACTAGGATGGAACAAGTTCCAACCAAGCAGAGTGGTGTGAGTAATAGAGATTTTAATTCCTGATACACTATTAGCTATATCTTCTGCTGTTTTTTTGTTGAGGACTATTCCTCCCCATTACTCCCCCAGAATGAACTGTGTATTTTTGAGTCTCCCCAACACTCACAGTTTTGTATTGGGGGGGGGCAACCTGCTATTTACCTAAGTGTTTCTGAACTTTCTCACTCCTGGGCTGGATTTCTAGTTATATTTCTTCATTTATTAAAGCCTGTCTGTTCAACCTATCCATAAGTACTGGTCTAGTTACCCCTATTACTCTCTGGTTCCCTATCACATCGAGTTCCATTTTCTCATGTTTGATTTTGGTCCATATAACCTTCTTCAGGCTAATTATATTTCCTATAAAGAGCCTCTGGGGGACCCTATCTCTTGATCCACTCTGCCTGCAATTCTCTCTTTCCCCCCTTAAGTTAGTGTATCTAGGCCATCTATATTAGAAATTATATCCAACCTGGGCTGGGGATTTAGCTCAGTGGCATAAGCGCCTGCCTTGCAAGCATGTGGTCGTGAGTTTGATCCCCTGTCCCAATTAAAAAAAAAAAAAGAAATTATATCCAACTTTCTTTGCCTCATTTCTGTTGAGCTCTTTTTCTGTCATTAGTTGTCGGCTTGTTTTCTTCATTTCACTTTCTGCTCCATTCATTGTGGCCTCTCTGCCACTGTTTTTGGAATCCTGGTACTTGTCTCTTTTAGAATGTCCTGCAGTATTCTCTGTAGAGTTGGATTGGTGGTTGCAAATTCCCCCAGTTACTCTTTACCGTAGAGGCACCTTGTTTCTCCATTAATTTCTAGGGAAAGTTGTGCAGGATATATCAATCTTGGTTGGAGGTTATTGTCTTTCAAAGCTTGAATTATTTTGCCCCACTCTCTTTGAGATTTGATGGTTTGTGTCGAGAAGTCTGCTGTAATTCTGATGGGAATTCCCTTGTAAGTGATCTGTTTCTTGTCTTTGATGGCTTTTAGTATTCTGTTCTTATATTGGATTTCTGGAATTTTGATTATTATATGCCTGCATGTAGTTCTGTTTGGATTGTAGGTGGCTGGGGTCCTGTATGCCTCATACATCTGAGTATCTTTACCTTTTCCTATGTTTGGGAAGTTCTCCTTGATTATTTCTGTGAATAGCCTTTGCAGTGCATTTGTTTGTATTCCTGCTTCTTCCTTTACATTCTTAATTCTTAAGTTATAGATCTTCTTATCATCTTTTAGCCTTTGTATTGTTACAGCTTATTTCCTTGTTATTTTTAAGAAGTTTTTCCTTTCATGCTCCCACGTTACAAACCTGCCCTCTAGTTCAGATAATCTATCCTTAGTTTCTTTCAAGCTATTATGCCAGCTTTCAATAGAGTTTTTAGTTTCCTGGTAATCTCTTTGAACCTGCTTCATGTATTCTATGTTTTCTCTATTTTCTCCATCAAACAATTCTCCCCCTTTTTTTTGTTTTTTCATTCTACCATCTGTTTTTTCTTGGGGGGTGCTTAGCATTTTTTTAACTATTCTACTTATGTCTTGCTTTACTTGGTTAAATACTTCACTTTTGAACTCGTCTATGAGGTCCCTCAGATATTGCTTTATGTCTATT